AAAAATGCAAATACTGGCCCCTTTCACAATACACAACTGTAGCAGTTTGAAAATACTTTAACCATCATGACTGCATCAAATGGAAACCTGGATCTGTACATTGGTGAGGAACTAAGACCAGCAGCAGAGAATACCACATAAATACCATGAAACTACAGATCCCTAGATTCCATTGGATGCTGTCATGCAGGTTCAAGTGGTTTCAAGCTACTATAGTTGTGTAGTGTAAAATGAGCCACTGATAGAAAAAACAAAATACTGGAGAAGCAGGGACAGATTGAAAAAAGTGATTGAAACTTCAAATAGAAGCATTTCACAGTGCAACATTTTGATATTTCTTCCTTCCACAATCCCATTTCATGAGCTTAAATCCTTACCTTTGTTCTGAACTCATGAATGAGCCCATATCTTACACATACATACACACCCATTCCAAGGTATCAGGCTTACTTATTAAGTCCTCCCACACCTTCTCTGTGGTCTGTGTGGCTGTTCTTGTTGGAACTGCTCTATGGCATTCATTCAAGGAGGAAAGAAATTGCTTTTTCAGTGATCATGATTTGGCATTGCAAACGCCAGGAAAGGATGCCCAGAATGAATCTGTCAGGCCTGTTTTATTCTCAGTTTCAGCACTAAATTTATTTTGCCAGTTTCAGGAAGACGTGGAACGTACATATCTTGATACTGTGCTGGAATCTAAAACTCATTTATATCTTGAAAGGAAGAAACCAGACCCATCTGAGAGTGTGCCTCTTCTCTTGCTTGCCATTACTGGAAAAGGTACTTGAACAGTGATCTGGACAGAGAGATTATATTTAAAATTTACTTAGAAGGGTGGAAGAAATGTAAAATGCAAAATGTTGAGTAAAACATATTCATGTTGGCATTTAAAGTCTATCATGATATTTAATCTCGTTAATTTTATTTCTGTCTTCTCTTTCTCCTGCCAGAGGATCCAGCAAGGTAAAGACAACACCATTAAGACAACACACAACTGAAAAACATGAGGATACAAATGTCTGGCCCATGTGGGCTTCCCACCGAAGGTAGGTAAGGCACAACCCATCTCAATAATGCAGGAAGTGAGCCTTTTTTCTAGCACTGAGAAATGAATGCATACTTGTATCTCCAATCTATCAGAACTGAGAGCAGGATTCCCAGAGCTAAGAGGGACTGTGCCTTCTTTCCATAAAAGGCTGAAACAGTTCCCCATTCCTGAAGAATACATCTAAACTAACATATATTAATTTTATACTGCAATGCCAGGTCGGTCAAAAACAAGACCCATCTTATCCACGATCTTTTGGTGGATGAGGTGGCCGACCTGGCATGTTTTACTGAAACCTGGTTGGGAGATGCTAGCGTGGCGACATGGGCGCAAATTCTCCCAGCTGGTTATTCAGTCAGTGAGCAGACCAGGGAAAGTGGGCGGGGGGGCGGCGTAGCCTTGGTTTATAGAAACAGCCTATCCTTGATCAGGAAGCCTATCCGGAAAACAATCTACATTGAGTGTATGTACCTTAGCATGACAACCAGGGATAGTTTGGGGATTCTGTTGGTATACCGGCCACCC